AGCGCGGAAGAGATGTTTTCCTTTCTATTTCACACACTTCTCTATGGCTGGCGTTAAAAAACACACACACACACACACAGCTTTTGTAACTGGAAACGAAAACAGGTGTTGCCCCAGGGCCCAGGGTGCTCGGGGTGGAGCCCAGGGGTGAGGGTGGGGAGGGAGGGGACTCTGCAGCCCCCCCCAACCTCGCACAGCAGGTGCCTGGAGGCCCCCTCGGTGGGAGGGGCTCGCTTTGTGGGCGCTGCACGGGGCACAAGTCCGGAAGCGGGGACCCCAGGCTGGTTTGGGAAGGGCTTTTGGGCCTCAGTTTGCGTGAAACTGCAAAACTTGACAGAATCGGGACTTTCTACAAATTGTATAAAACTGTGTTACTGACGACCAGGTGGAGTGACCCCGAGTGCCGGTCTGGCCCAAGCCAGGGCCCCAGGCAGGGAGCCGCCGACCCCCTCCTGTCCCTGGGTCCCTCAGGTGCCTGCAGGGAGCTGGGCCCATGTTAGTGTTTCGGTGGGCCCGTGTAAGCTAAAGTGGAATTCCCATGGAAAGCAACACATTTATTTTGATGTGTGTTAGGGAAAAAATGCACATATTACCTAAAATATTTAACCTGTGCTTTCAAAGGTATTTCTTAGGAAAAGCTACACGTAGTTGAGTTTTTTAAAAAGTGATTAATTTTAAGGAAAACAACCCAAGCGAAGAAAGCCAGGAAGGGCCAAGGCTCTGCTTGGAGGCCTGGTGGGCCAGGCCGGGTGGTCCGCTTCTGGATCCCCGACCCCACACTCCCTGGGAGGGGAGCCCCCAGCGGGGGGCTCTTGCCGTGCCGGGTGAGAGCCCAGCCCCGTTCCCACCCCTGCCCGGCTCTCTCCAAACTGTCCAGGGAAGGGGGTGCTCCCGCCAGCCCGGGGCCACGGAAGGGCCGCCCTGGGCCCTCGCCCTCCACCGAGAGGCCTTTGCACTGGGCCAGCTTGGACGGGTGGCCAGGCCTGGACACAGGGTGACGGCCCCCAGCCCTCGGGGTGGCCCTCGGCACAGCCTGAACCCCTCCCGCCGCCTCCGGAGCAGGCCTCTCTGTAGTCCCTTCAGATTCCCGCTCTCGGTCAGGCGCGCTGTGGAGAGCCTGTGCACGTGTGCACACATGTGCCTGTGTATGCACGCGTGTGCACATGTGCACTGTGTATGCACATGCAGGTGCGTGTACCTGTGAATGAGTGTAGGCTGAGGGCCCGCTGGAGGCCAGGGGGAAGAGCTCGCTCAGGCTGTGGGTCCTGGCCTGGCGGCTATCTGGTTATGTGACCCTGGGCCGGGCCTCTAGCGACTCCAAGTCCGAGGAGAAGCCTGGGCAGGTGACCGTCCGTACACAGGCTGCCTGGCCTGGCCTGGCCAGTGTGCTCGGCAGCCTCAGCCGCACCAGGAGAGAAGTTGCACCAGCCGACGCAGCTTCGGGCCAGGGTCCCCTGAGTGAAACTAAGCCCGTTCCTGAGACCCCTGTGGGGCCCCAGCCTGCCCGAGGTCAGGCCCAGGCCACCGGCATGCTTGGTGCCCAACTCTCCACCCGGCACCCAGTGGGTCCCGGAGGTCTGGCCCCCGCCCTCCCGGGGTCGTCAGCGACGGTCGTAGGGTTATGGAGCCGCCCCCCGTGAACGCGCCAGGAAGCAGCAGGATGAGGACCGAGGGGATCTCATGCGGGCACCTGGCCTTGTGGGAGGGGCTGGGGCAGGCTTCCCTGGGAGACCCCAGAGTCTCGCCAGGAGACGGACTAGGACTGGGGCGGGGGAGGGGCGCTGCTGCTGGCAGAGGGCTTGGGGGTGGGGTGGGGTGGGGCACGGCCGTTGGAGGAACCAAGAGTGCCCGCTGGCTCTGCGGCCTGGGGAGGGCATTGCTGGGAGCCTCGTTACTCACTCGCCCTCCTGGTGGCATCTGCGGGTCAGAGCCTGCGTGGTCCGCGGCCCGCGAGCGGAGAGGATGCTCAGTGTGTGCAGGGCCTGGGCTCGCCCCGCCACCCCGTGGAGCCAGGAACTGAGGGTCTGCCTTGCAGTCCAAGGTCCTTCCAGAAGAAGCCGGAGATCCTGGAGTCTGAAACTATAAGTGAGGTCAGAGAGGCTCCCGGGCAAATCCCAATTGCTGACCCCTCCCTCTGAAGGGTCTAGAAGCTTCCACGGGTTGCTGTTTCCTGTGGACCCGGTAGCACATACATCAACGCATTTCATCACCCCAAAACCTTGCAAGGTGTGGGCAGGGCTGTCCACAGTTCACTGGTGAGAAAAGGGGGCTCGGAGACATGAGACCCGACAGGAGCCGGCCTGAGACAGGGTGCCCAGAAACCGTGCCCTTCACCGCACACCCTCACTTGCGCGAGGGGACCACAGGGACCACGGGGGCCAGAGCCAGCCCATGCTGGCAGGGGATGATTCGAAAACAGACGCCCTTGGCCCCGGCTCTGAGTAATAGCACACACGAGACATGGCTGGCTGCCAGCTCACGAGGATGGTCACCTGTCTGTGACAGAGCTGGGGCTCGGGCATTTGGGGGCTGGGGGTGGAGAGGAACCGTGCAGCCTGGGGTCAGCGGCTGAGGGGTGGGGGGCAGAGGCCGTCCTTGACCTCAACCCCAGTCCCCGAACAGGCCTGCTCTTAGGAAGTGAAAGGCCAAGGAGGAGCAAAGTTCCTCTCGCAAGTTTCCTTTCTGCCTCTTAAAAAGCGTGTTGCAACGAGTGTGGCCACTGCGAGTGGGAGAGGGGGCGCCTTCCGAAACAGGTGCCGGCCCCGGCTTCCGCCGCGGCGGCTCTGGAAGAGCCCGGAGATCCCAGGGATGGGTGGGAGCTTTAGAAGCTCGAGGCCATGGCGCTGCTGCCCGGGTTCCCCTGGAGCTCGGGGAGCTGGAGGCTCAGGGCCAGAGGCAGCCTGCTCGGCAGGTGGCGTCCGAAATTGGGCCTGTCCGTAAAATAAGCAGAAAACCGCGATGAGGGATCACAGAGTGAGCCAGGTCACGTGCGTCACCGTTCCTCCCGTAGCGGCCCCGGACTCGCTAACTGCCAACAGCGAAGGACGCATTTCGATAGAGAATGCGTTTTTTATTGTGATGAGTCGCGTGAAATTTACCACCTGGACCATCTTTGAGTTCCGCGGCGTGAAGTGCGTCTCTGTGGTTGCCTGTGTCCATCTCCTGCACTTTTTCGTCCTAAACGGAAACTGTCCCCGTTAAATGTGACCCCCCCAGCCCCGCCCCCGCCCCCAGGGACCTCAGGTGGTGGAGTCACACGGTGTCTGTCCTTCTGCGACTGGCTTCCTTCACAGCGAAGTGTCCCCAGGGCCCCTCCGCGTGGTAGCAGGTGTCGGAATCTCCTTCCTGTTTCGGGCTGAACGGCGCTCCACGGTGTGGGCGGCCCATTGCGTCGTTTATCCATCCCCCCCCACCCCCCCTGCTGAGGACCCTCGGGCTGTTTCTGCCTTCAGGCTGTGGGGAGTGGCACGCTGTGGACTGGACTCTGAGCGCTGGTGTGACAGGGCCTATGGGGGCCAGCACTGGACCAGGTCCACCTGCCCAGGCCCTGGTCCCCATGCCCTGCTGCTTAGCTGTCACCCTGGGAAAAGCCCAACCCCCCACTTGATTCCTGATGAGTCTCTAAGGGGTGAGCTCCCCAGACTCGGCTGTGTCCTTGGAGTGTCCTGTGTCCTTGGAGCACCTGGGGACTGGCTGGCGTGCTCTCGTGTCTGAGTTATTGTCACAGCAAAACAATAGTGACCACCATGGCGTTAGCAGCCACCGACTGCCAGCATGTGCTTTGTGCCCTGCGCTGGGCTGGCACGTTCCTGCCCTCATTTTCCAGTGACCCCAGCAGGGACGTGTGTCCAAGGCCGGGGGTGAGGGAGGGCCAGGCCTCCCGATCAGGGGGTCTCACGCCAGAGAGGAGGCAGCTGAGACTTGAGCAAGGCCTGTCACAGGGTTCCCGAGGCTGAGCTCAGGCAGCCCGGCTGCCTGTCCCCCGCCCCGGAAGGCCGGGCCCCTCGGCCTCCGGGAGGGGAGAACCGAGTGCGAGTTCAGCAGCGCGGCCAGGCGCGGAGGAGGCCGCACGGAGCTGGGCTGGTGGTGGGGCTGAGCGTGGTGCTTTAAGATGGGGGCGACTCGGGTTTCCTTGCTTCTGCGGCTTCCAAGACGGGCCAGCCAGGCGGGGGCGAGTCAGGCTGCAGGGCGCTTCCTCTTTTGGGCGGGCGTGAGCAGAGAGGAGGGCCCCCCGGAAGCCTCCAGGGCTGGCTGTGGCTCGGGGGGAGGGTCCGTCCGGCGGGGGAGACATGGAGATGAGGGGCCAGACCCTACTCGAAGGGCTCTGGGGGTGCTGGTTCCTTACGCCCCAGACCCCAGAGCTGGGAGGAGGGAGAGGCTGGAGGCGACCCCTACCGCAGGTGAGGGCGCTGAAGCTCAGAGGGGCAGGTGTTTGCCCCAGGTCACACACTGGCCCACGGGGCAGGGGGGGGGTCAGGAATCACCCCCGGACGTGCTGCCCCATGACCACAGGGCTCAGAAGTGTCCTGGTGGCCTTTAGAGCAACAGAAAGGTCCTCGCGGCCACCCCCAGGACACATGTAACCCAGAGGGGCCGGGCCAGCCTGCATTTCCGTCCCACCCACGGCCTCCACCTTAACCGAGGTCACGTGTGGCCCTGCCACCAGCAGCGGCGCACCGCACGCACCAGGGCTCCCACTGCTGTTCGGCAGCCCCAGGCCCCTCTGGGTGCTGCATCCTCTCGCAGGCAGGGGCCCCAGGGCTCCCCGAAGCCCGGCCAGGGTCCAGCCCTGTCTGCAGGGGTCTCGGGGAGACGACGGGAGAGGATGCAAGAGGAACGGGGTGGCTTTCCAGGGAGGTGACGTCGGGGGAGCCCTGGTTCACCCACCATGATGTTGACTGTCTGGTCACTGTCTGGTTGCTGTCTGGGTCCCCCGGGAGGGGATGCGGAAAAGCCTGGGGGGGGTGTCTGGCTGAGTGAACTGGTCTCCCTGTCCCCAGGTCCAGCTGGGAGCTCCCGGACCTCCAGGAGGGCAAGATCGAGGCCATCAGCGACTCGGACGGGGTGAACTACCCCTGGTACGGCAACACCACGGAGACGTGCACCATCGTGGGCCCCACCCGGAGGGACTCCAGGTTCATCATCAGCATGAACGACAACTTCTACCCCAGCGTCACGTGGGCCGTGCCCGTCAGCGAGAGCAACGTGGCCAGACTGACCAACATCTACCGGGACCAGAGCTTCACCACGTGGCTGGTGGCCACCAACACCTCGACCAACGACATGATCATCCTGCAGACGCTGCACTGGCGCATGCAGCTCAGCATCGAGGTGAACCCCACCCGGCCCCTGGGCCAGCGCGCGCGGCTGCGGGAGCCCATCGCCCAGGACCAGCCCAAGATCCTGAGCAAGAACGAGCCCATACCGCCCAGCGCCCTGGTCAAGCCCAACGCCAACGACGCGCAGGTCCTCATGTGGCGGCCCAAGTACGGGCAGCCGCTGGTGGTGATCCCGCCCAAGCACCGGTGACAGCCGGGGCGCCGCTCGCGCAGACTCCAGGGGCGGCCCAGCCCCCACGCGGACGCCCCCTCATTCAGCAGAATACAACCATTCTACCTTGCCCAGCGGCGGTCTCACTGTGCGCATGCCCCGGCATGGCCTCCCGCCCCCTCGGACGGAGCCGCTTCCCCGCGGTGGGGGGCCGGGGGGCGGGGCCAGCCCCCGAACAGACCAGCCCCGTGTATGCCCTTCGGTGTCGCCTGGGGTCCCCTTTCCTTCCCTCTTCTCACAGTTTCAGCCATTCACTCGCAGCCGTCTCCCGGACACAACTGCTTTTCAGTCTTTTTGAACGCCTCTTTAGGAGGTTCAGGGGCGGGAGGAGGAGGAGGAGCTGGCGCGCGCGTGACGGACCGGCTCCTGCTGACCCGCGAGAGTGCGGCGCTCCCGTGGCGGCTCCCCCTCGTCCTCCCTCTCGTCACGCGGCCTTACGTAGAATTGCTTTGCCAAACTTTTGCCTTAAGCTGAACTTCGAGGAAAGAAACCGAACCAGCGCGAGGGAGCCGGGTCTCTTTTCTACTGGACTTCATCCTCCTCCGCCGGAGAGGTGGGGGTTGGGTGGGGAGGGAGGGAGACCGCCTGCGTCCCTGGGCCCTGGCGTCTTGGTTCCGGGGCGGGGGCGCAGGTTCAGGCCGAGGACCGGCTGCTCATTCTTGCGTCTCAGCACAAACTCAGCCGCAGCCAGATGCTACTTAAAGGGCCCCAGGTAGAGCCCCCGCCCCCCACCTGCAGAGGAGGACCGTGAGCTGTGGCCCCTGCTCTCCTGTGAGCCGCAGGTCGAGCCCAGGGGGCTTTCACCCTCCGTCCTCAGTGCCCGTGTCCCCAGAGGGCCTGCCCTCATGTCCCAGTGTGTGGCTCTCCCTGTCCATTCACACGGGTTCCCACGGCCCCGAGGGCCGGGCCAGCGACCAGGTTTTAATTCAAAGGGGAGAAGAACCGCACACTCTTCGCTCCAGGCTCCTCAGGGAACGCCCCTCCCAGGGCTGGGGGTGCGGGGGAGGGCTGCAGACTGGCCCCAGCAGCACAGAGCTGGGGGCGGGGCAGCCCCCCAGGAAGCACCCAAGGAAGGACCTGGGCGTGCGGGGGTCAGTTGGCAGACACCCCCGGCTGCCTGTCCTCAAGGAAGTGAGCCAGGGCCCCGGCTGTGGGACTGAGTGGGCCCCGGGTCGAGAGGTGTCAGAGCTGCCATGGAGGCTGGCCTGGGACAGTGCGGCCAGTCGTCGGGGGCCACCCTCCCTGGAGTCCCGGGCCCCTGCGGCCCTAGGGCTTTGCCCCGAGCGACGCCACGCTTTCTCAGCCACGTCTGCTCTGAGGGCTGCTCGCGGGGGCTGCAGGCCCCCCCCCCCCCCCGCGGCAGCCCCCTTCCTCCAAGCTTGCCAAACCCACAGCTGCACCATCCAGGCCCCGCATCCGAACTAGTGATAGTCAAGCACAGACAGCCCGTCAGGTAAGCAAAACACCGCGTTTCTGCTGCGCACGAGCCACATGCGGGGGAATCCCAGGGGCAGCGCGGGAGGGCGTCGGTGACCCGCCCTCGCTCCGCTGCGTGACTGTGTGGTGATGTATTTACTCAAGGGGTGCTTACCGCCCAGTCCCTCCCCCGAGCCCCGCCCGACGGAGGCGCACAGCCATCCCGGGGCAGCTGGACGGCCGGCCGGCCGCCCTGTGCTGCTGGCCACGGGCCTGGTGCTTGGGGACACTGCCAGGCCCGGGACCTCTCCCTGGACGCTGCCAGTTCCCCGTGGTGCCACCCAGAGAGGCCGTAGCCTTGAGGAAGGAGAGGAACAGTGGGTCCCCGCTCCACCTTGGGGGCGGGCCAGAAGGGAACCAGGTGCCGCGTCCGGCCACCAAGGACAGGGCCTGGCCTCCCAGTGGAGCGGCCGCTGTCTGCACTCAGGTCTAGCCCCACAGAGGAGAGCCGGCCCTGGCGAGGGCCCGGAGGCCGGGTCCCAGCTGGGAGGTTCTTCCTGGGGCAGAGGGTGGAGGAGGGGAAGAGCAGTAGGGGGCGTCCTGGGCTGTTTGGGGGCAGCTCAGGTGTGGCCAGTGTGAGCGAACCTCCCGGCAGCGGCAGCGCTGTGTACAGCTGGAAGGGCTGACCGCTGCTTGTCTGGCCCCCAGCTCCCGTCCCCTCCCACCCCCGCCCTCCCCTTTCTGTGCCCATCGGGCCTTTCTGAAGACCCTGGAGAGGCTGCAGGTCCGGCCAAGGGTGCCGGGCTTAGCTTGGGGCTGGTCCCTTGGCGTCCTTCCTCGGGTCAGGGGCCCAGACCCCAGGCTCCTGGCCGGGGCCCCCGGTCCCCCGGTCCCCCCGTCCCCTCCCCCACGTGGACACGCCCATCCAGCAATAAGGGCCGTCCGTGGTCATGGAGAGTACTGTGAAAACCAACCAGGGCACTTACCAGGAGGCACGAGACTGGAAGAAAATGTAAAACGAACCTTTAAAAAAATATTCACAAAGAGAAATAAAATTAATTTTAAAGAAGGGCCGGCTAGGGTCTGGATGTTTCTGAAGTGGCAGTTGGTTTTGGGGTGGCGGCTCCGTGAGTCTGGACAGGGGAGTGAACAGTTTTGGGGGCCTGGGGCGGCCAGTGCTCAGGGCCCGGGAGATCCTGGGAGGGGGAAGGCCCCGTGGGCGATGCCTTCTCCGGGGGTCCGCAGCCCTGGGACCTCAGCCCCCACCCACAGTGCCCCTGGCTGGTGCCCTGTGGCTCGGGGGCAGAGCTAGGCCTGGGGGCAGCCTGGCATTTCGGCGAACAGCGGACTCCCATTCGAAGGGGAATTGGTGTACAGCCTGGGCCCCCACCCGCCGCCCTGCACACCTGCCTCTGTGAGGGGAGCGCGCTGGGCTCCGCCCGCGCACAGTGCGCCCTCCGCCCGCAGCTGATGAAGGGGGGTTGCGTGGGCTCGGTGCCCCACCAGCTCCCACCATCTTCTCATCAGAAGACAGAGCCCGGGGGACGTGGAGTTGGGGGGGTGCTCTCAGGGCCGGCCGTGGACCCAAGGCCACCTGTGTGAGTTCGGACAACATGCTGAGCCCCACTTACCTCGTGGGAAACCGGGGTCCGCCAGGGAGCCGCCTCCTCCCACCTGACGCCACGAGAACGCGCCGTTCTCGGCTTCCAGGTGCCGCCTCACCTGGGGGTCATCAGGGTCCCCGCTTCACAGGTGAGGACACTGAGGGGGAGCAGAGGAGAGAGGCTGCCCAGGGCTGTGCACCTGGGAAGAGGCGGGGGCAGGATTCGAACCCTGGCCCCAGAACCCAAGTCCTGGGGAGCACACGTTGGGTGCTCAGTATGGAGGACTGTCCCTCCACAGGGCCCGTGCCTGCGGCTCACTCCGCCCTGGGCTCCCGGGGCAGGAAACGCCTTCGTCCCCCACCCCAGCCCTGGGGGGTCTGGAGCTGGTGTGCCCGCGGTGGGCCGGGCTCTCTCCCTTCGGGGAGGGGCTGCCCGCTCAGCGGAAGACCGCGGGCTCATCCGCTGGGGGGGGTGGGGTGGGCGGTGGCCTCCGGGCATTGCCACAGAGCACGGGTGGCCCCGTTCACTCTGGGCGTGGGGCGCTGGCCCCCCTCTCCGGGCTGCCCACGCTGCAGGAGCCCGCCAGCGCTGTGTGCCTCCCGCCCCGGGGACACCACAGCAGGAAGTTGCACAACAGGCTCCTCCAGCCGCCCTCCACCCGCATGGCTCCCGGGGGGCGTGCCGTTCACTGTGGCGGCTCGGCTTTCGGTCTCGGCGTGGGCTCCTGAGCCCCGCCGGCCGGCGAGAGGCCCAGGGGGGCCGTGTGTGCACGCGTGCCTGTGCATAGTGAGCGAGGGCTGGGCACGGGGCAGGCCTGGCCGTTGGCCGGAGGAAGCGGAGCTGGACGCTGAGCAGGGCGACGCCGACGTGGCCGGGGCACGCGACCCTTTACTCGGCCACGAGGCCGAGGGAGGACGTGGGGACGGTCGGCAGCCGGCACGCGGGGTCCCTTTTGGGAAGGGCCCGTGCGGGGAGGGGGGGCTACAGTAAAGTGGGTTCCGAGTGGCATGCAGGCCTCCAGCCTCTCAAGCAAGCTGATAGCTAGCAGGTTAAATTTAGAAGTCCCAGGCCGGAGGGAAGTAGGCACCACCAGGCTCAGGCCAGCTGTCACGGGAGCCGGGACCTGGGAGCCTGCTGCCCGGGCAGGGCCGGCCCACCTGCCCCAACACGTCTGTGGGGAGCAGGTGCGCCGAGGCCCCGGCCCCAGCCCCAGCCCGCTGTCCACCCCGAAGCCGCCTTGGGGGGAGAGCCCGGCCTCTGCTCTGGACGCGGGCTCATGGCGGGTGGCATTTGAGGCCCAAAGGAAGTCACTTTCGGTCCCAGAAGGAGCCAGCTCCCTGGGAGGCGGTGCTGGCACCCCTCGCAGGCCCCCGGATGGTTCCAACGGCCCAGGGGCCCTTCCTGTCACTCTGGCTTGATCTGGCTCTTGGTCTCCACCTCTCTCGCTTGGCTGGGCATTCGATTAAGGCCAACGTTTCGGGCAGCAAGAGGAGTGAGCCCCACCCCTGTGCACCCACACTATTCGAAAGGGACCCACCCGGACCTCGAGGACACAGCCAAGTCCCGCAGAGACGCACGTCCAGACAGCAAACGCCCGCTGTCCTGCCCCCACGGTCAACTGAGGGGCGTGCTTCCGCGCTGACAGCCGAGGCAACAGACCCCTGGGGTGGGGCGGGGGTGGCGGCGAGGACCTGTTTCAGGTCCCTCAGCTGGGACGTTGCAGAGACGGGCTGGTTTCAAACAGCCACCGTGTGACCCTGCTCTGTCACTGCTTTCTCGGTGACACCACCGGGCTTCTCCACAGTCTGCTTCTCCCGCGGGGCAGGAGGCCCCTAGCGGGGAGCCGAGCAGCCAGCAGCCCTGCCTGCGGGCGGGCACAGGCCAGTGGGAATTGTTAAATGCAAGCAAATGTGCCCCCCCCCCCCCCGGGGCCAAGGAACTCCGTCTCTGCGCCTGTGTCCGGAGAGGCACCCACAGGGCCCACACGGGTCCTGGCAGCGGCCGGCCTGCTCGGACCAGGCGGGGCCCAGACAGAGTTACACAGTTAGTCCCTCCACCGACAGCTTAGGTTTAAGTGCCACGGCCCAGATTTGTGTTTTACACCCCCTTTAAACCAGACAGAAGGAGGGTGGTGCTGGGTGTTCACAGCTAGAAGCCCCGTGCTGTTCTTGGCGACCCCTCGAGTCGCCGAGTGAGGCCCGGCCGGCCTCCTGTCCTCGCAGGCTGGTTTCCTCCTCCGCCAGCGGGTCGAGCACGCCCGGCCCGACCTC